CTACTCTGGGTCAGATCTGAGTCCTCAAGGAACTCTGTTTTAATCCCCTGCCTAGCTCCACCCTTTCTGGTCACCAGGACCCTTTTCCCTAATGGTGCGCAGGGGTTCCTTCTTACTAATAAGCATATTTACTCATCTGGAGCTTGCTGCTCGGCAGCCCGCATCAGCAGCCTGCCTCTCTGCAAGCAGACTTACAGCTGTGCAGTCCATCTCATTGCAGCCTTCACCCTCCTCTCAATAACAGGGGTTAGGGGCCCCAGTTACATATGCTGTCTGGAAAATGGCATCCCAGATATCTAAAGTTCGGGGAAATTTTGAGCAATGACAAATAGGGGTTTATAGAAAGCATTAGGCAAGCTTACTATAGGTGCTGCTACTGGCTACATCTAATATACTCAATAGTATTTCATTAAACATTTATTAAATACAGGACATCATCAACAAGAGTGGGGAACAAAGAAAGGTCCCACTGGCAACTGTCTAGGAGTACAGTGTAGCAGCTTCTCATTCAGAGGTGGGCAATTATTTATGCAGAGGAGGGCCACTTAATGAGGTTTCGTGAGCTCTTGAGGGCTGCATGGGTAGCCCCACCCCTTGACAGTTGCCCCACCTCTTATTGCCATCTTGGGACCAGTCGTCCCATTCCTAAACCCTGACCTTTGCCACTGGAAGTCTCTCCCCTTGCCCCCTGGAAATGCTCCGGGGCGTGGGGAGGGTAGTTGCCATCTTAGAACCAGAAGCAAACCAAATCATACACTAAGAGTCAAACACCTACTATAGCATATTTAAATTTTATTACAAAAAATATTTTTGGCATGATTTGTGTTTGCACAGTGTATATAGAGGTGATTGCATAATAACTCAAATTTTCAGTCTTGTATATTGTGGGGGGGGTGTATGGTATTTGTGTGTGTGTGTGTGGTAGGGTGTGTGGGAGGGTTTGTGAGGGGGTGTAGCTGTGTGGGGGGGGCATAGAGTATGTTGGGAGGCTATGTATATGTAGAGGGTTGCGGGTGAAGGGTGTGGGGTTTGTGGGGTGTGAGGGAGGGTGGGCTGGTGTGGGGACCACCCCCCCACACACTCCCGTGAGGGGCACAGCCTTCTCCGGGCTGTCTGTTTTGCTGCCACTCCCCACCATTCATGTGCAGCCCCTGTACTCACCGGGCACAGGCGAGAAGCCCTAGGCACTGGAGCCAGCTGCCTTCCCTGCCCCCCCGGGGAAGATGCCTGGGGCTTCCCTCCCCTGCCATGCAGCCCCAGTGGGGAAGGCAGCTGGCTCCAGTGCCTGGGGCTTCTCTCCCATGCCCAGTGTGTGTGGGGGCTGCACGTGAGTGGCAGGGAGCACTGGCGATACAGATGGCCTGGTGAAGGCTGCGCTCCTTGCTGCGATGTGCAGCGCCGGCCAGAGCCATGTCCCACTTGGCACCTGTGCCCTGAGCACTCCACCTGCTGCTGCCACCGCCTGCTGGGGCTGCGTGCCATGGGACAGTGTGGGGAGGTCCCCACACCCCCACCCTCCCTCACACCCACATGCTGCCCAGCCTGTCACTGCACTACCGCCATCTCCCTGGGCATGGAGCCCCACGCTCCCACCCAGCTGTAGCCCAGCTCATGCCACTTCCCTACCTGCTGCACAGAGCATGCAGAAGACCAGGGAAGTGGAGCAGGTCCCTGGGGGTTGTAGCAGCGGGAGCAGGAACCCCGCCTGGAAGCTGCTGCTGGCCAGGCTGTGCCCTTCCTCTCACAGGGGTGGGAGTGAGGCACCATAGGGTATGTTTGGGGCTATATGTACATGTGGACACCTTGCTCCCGCCCTCTTGGGCAGAAGGGCTGGGCTGGGTGCAATCTGTTGGGGGGTGCCGTAGGCCAGATGAAAGTGCTTGGCGGGCCAGATTCAGCCCATGGGCCGTATTTTGCTTGCTTCTGTTCTAGCTGCTTTCAACTTTAAGTGTTTAAACACCAGCATTCAACGTGACTACGGTGTCACAATCAATATGGATCCTACACAGAGATCTGGCTGTCTATGGCAGTGTTTCTAAACGTTTCTGCACTCAAGATGCCCCTTGGCTAGGATAGTCACACTGCACTTGGCCTGGCTCTTCTAGGTAGTGCAAGTGGGAACTGATTAACATTGTTATCAATCTTAGAAACCTCAGTAGGGGCACTGTGTGAGCTATCACCATAGCTGTGACCCCATCAGTCCCAGATAGCAGTGAGTCCAGGCCTTTACAGTGCTTAAACAAATGCCACACAACTGTCACAGCTAGGGTTATTAGGAAATCCACTGAAACTTAGTCTGACAAAAGCCATACCTTTCTGCAGGATCAAACACCTAAGGGAAAATCTTCTTAACCATTTCATGAACTTCACACTCACATCTTTACCTTTGGCTCTCTGCTCCTGTATGTAGTGACCACTCTAGACTCGATGTTTCACTACTAGCTCTGTGAGGAGGAAGAGTAGTCGCACCCTGTGGATTCCAATTCTCTCTGTTACGTGCACTTCTTCAGTACGTGGCTGATTTTACCACATCATGACTAAGTCATTTCCCTTGGAGCACTTGGGATATCTTTTGTTCAAAAGAGACTTTCACTGTGGTTGCTGGGGTTTTAATATGACTCCCGTGAACTATAATTTGGGCTTTAAGAAAATATTGGCTATCCATTGACCTTTACCCTCTCAGCCATCTGTGATCATTTGGCCTCTTCAACATCTGCTTTTAAAACATGCTTAGGTTGAGTGCTCCTGACATGTCACCCTCCATGCAGCTCTGGGACTTTATCAGTGACGTGGCACTAACAATCGAAAGGAGATGGTATTTGCCCACTTCAGGACTCAGCGATGCTTCTGCAAGTTGCAGTGAGCTCTAGTCAGAGGCAAGCTCCAGTTCTCCCCAATTTTTCTCTTTACCATCTTTAACTATAAGAATCCAACAATAGGCTGCCCCTTCCTCTTACACTTCTCACAGGATATAAAACAGGGCTAGCACCAGTAAGCATTGGGAGTCACCTCCTCCCTACAAACAGCCCTTTAATCTGTGGTGATCCAAAACCTGTACTCCCCCTTCCCTCCTTATGCCCAGACTGTAAATTTTGTAGCAGGAGCTCACGGAAGCCAGAGACCTGTCATTCCTGAACATGGCTGGATTTCTTTGCAATGTAAACTACTGGGACTTCAAACCAAGCTCTGGCACACGGAGCCACCAGGAGGGCTGCAGGGGGAGGGACAGTGTTTCCCTAGCTTATTTGATTTGTGGGAATGCGATTGTTCAAGAAAAGGGCCGTTTTATGCCTGACGTACCAAGGCACCTCAAAATTGTAGAGTCCCAGGAAAACCTTTTTCCAAGCATTCAAATACTGGTAGTTTGACTCTTTTATGATGACAGCTCATACCAATGTGGCCTTGTGGTTCCCACCCCCAACTAAATACAAGTGGTAGTTGTAAAGCTTTATTTTTTTTTTCTTCCACAATAAAGTTGTAAAACTTCCAGTACTGCCTGCAAGCAGGGAGGGCAGTCTGAAGGGACGCCTCCAGAGAGTGCAGGTGTTTCCCAGAGCTTTTCTTCAGGAGTCAAGAGTTTCCATTCGGAGCAGCCGGTCTGGTGCATAGGTGGTCACTCTTGTTTTGGATCCCAGTGCTATGCTGTGTTAACTGAAGCTTCTCTGTCAGCTGTGCTGTCATTCTTCTGCCCATTTATAAAAGAAATCATGTACAAGCAAGAAGAATTCAGTGCGGCCTTGCTGGGGAAAAACGAACGTGGTGGCTTTTTCTTTGGGATCAGACCCATGAACTGTAAAGGGTGCTCCAAATTCCATGACTTCCCTATGTGTCTTCTAGTGATTGTGTGTGTTTTTATTTCTCTCTTGTAATTTTGCCCGTATTTATGTTTCTGAACAGCTATCTGTGAAAATGGCTGCCAGAATGGAGGTCGGTGCATTGGACCAAACCGCTGTGCTTGTGTGTATGGATTCACTGGCCCTCAATGTGAAAGAGGTAGAGACCTGTTTGTTATGTTACTATCACTGATTTGACTACAGAAAAGAACATTTACTACAATAAAAGGATGTTAAGCAGGTATTTAAGCACTCAGATCTTAGGACATGCAATGTTAATTTTGCCTGTGCAATGTTAACTGGGCTTCCTTGTATGAATGTGTTATGATAGTCTTAAATTACATGCTCACATACAATTTTTTCCATAGGATCTCTGATTCATTCAGTGCACAGGATGGACAGTGCTCACTGAATAGGTAGCTATTCAGTATTTCCTTTTGTCCTCATCATTCAATGCATGGCTTTTAGCCTCATTAGTCATGTACCAAAAAATCCCCGTATACAAAAATAACAATTACCTCTTGGATGTTTTTAATGATGCTCAACACTGTAATATCCAATTACTATACAAATGTCAGGAAACTAACAATTGCAACTCATCTGTGAGGTGAAGTGAAAGTAGTATGCCCATTTTACATATAGGGAACTGAGGCACAGAAACTGAAGGCCAAAATTGTTAAATGCCTACACTAATTTTGGGTGCCTAATTTGAGTCACTTGGGTCTGAATTTGCCAGAATACTTAGGATTTCTGTATCTGTGTGTGTGTCTGATTCAGGGTTCCCACTGATTTCAGTTTCAGTTGCGAGTGCTCGCCTCTCAGGGCTGCAATTCTAACTCCAGCTGTTTTCCTTTGGGCACCCAAAAAGTAAGAAACACTTTCAGTGATCCACTATGAAAATGTTATGTTTAATTTTTCTCCATTGGCACATGGGAGTTCAGTGGCAGAGGCTGGCATAAAATCTAGTTCTTTAGGCGGGTATCAAGTTGCCGTCACCAAAGCCACTGGCATACACTTATTTAACGGCACAATGGGCTCTGATCTCCATTCCCACCAGTCATGCCTCCTGCCATGCTACACATGCATGGCAGGAGGCACAATTTTGGGATAGGGGGTCAGATCCAAATTGCATCATAATAATTCTGGGCTCTCCCTGCAGTGGCAAATTGAAAGCCAGGTGCCAAAACCTCACACACAGAGTGGAGAATTGGATGATTGTCAGCTCTGGCTGGGCAGTCCCAGATCTGGTTCACCCAGGGCTGTCAGAGCAGACAATCAGCTAGGAAGGGCAGACAGTGAGACTTGGCACTATCTGGGCTGGGGCTCACTATCAGCTGATTGTTAAAACCCTGTGCCTGGCAGCTATGGCTGGACTGCTGGGCAGAGAGTTTGAAGTCCGAAGTGGGGGAAGCCCTTTCAGCTCTTCCCGCTAGGAGCCTTGGATCCCCTGCCCAGCAGCCCTGCCAGAGCTGCCAGGTGCAGGTTAAAAGGCCCTGGTGGGGGATGCCCTTTGGCTTCCCCTTCACCTAGGTCTGACAATCACCTGATTGTCGGTCCCCAGGGCTGTTCCAGAACCTGGTGCAATCTGGGCCCTGGGATCAGCAGTCAGCTGATTGTCGGCCCCAGCCACATGTTAAATTTAGGTGTGTGGCAGGACACTGTTGGTGCCTGCCACTTTAAGACCTGGGGCCAAGCAGCCAGCAGGTGCTTAATTGCGGTGGCCATTTTAGAGCTCTTTTTAGAGCTCTGGCCGCCCATATAAACAGGGCAGTTCGCTGCTGGCAGCCCAGGCAGCAACATTGCCTGGATGTGAGGCTTCTAGGAACAACCTGGATATAAGGGAGGAGCTGTAGGGGATGGTCTGGAGGCTCCTGGTCCTGGGCATGACCTAAAACTGCTCCCTGCCAGGAGTGGGTGGCCTGGTGGGGCTCCCAGTGGCACAGGAGCCCCCAGAAAATGCCAGGCCAGTTACCACCCTGGTGAAAGGCGGGTTGGGGCACCTTAACCCCAGCTCCCACAACCAGGTGGGTTAACCCTGAGTAGGGGCCAGAAGGCAGACACCAGGAGTGAGAGTGGGGCTAGAGGCTCGGGGGCCTGATGGAGAGTACCCTCGACTGGCCTGGGCTGGGGCTAGGACCAGAACAGTCAAAAGGGCCAGGGGCCCATGGCGAGGGATGCTGAGTTTGGAGGGCCTGAGGTTCCCGACTGGCCTTGGAGGTGAGACCAGGGCCTGTGTGGTCAGAGGGGAAAGA